CAGGTTTTGGCATCTAATCTAGGTTTAAAAATTCTCTCTCAGATCTGAAAAAGCCTTTCTTAGTGTGGCACATTCTAGTCGTATAAGCTAAATTAAAAATACACCTAGTTCATATTCCTTATTTTTAAATTAATGCATGCCATTCTAATGATTTGTCAATAAAAGTAATGCAGAGACAAGCACTTGTCTGAAACAATGAAAACAAACTGTGACTAGATGGATAGGATAAAAAAAAAGGTATTGCTCAGGTGTTTATGGACATACAAGTTTGACTTCAGGATAAAAAAAGAAGATTGAAAGGAAAGGAAAAGAGAGACTACAAGAAAAAAAAAATGATGAGAATTTGTTTCTGCCACTGTTATTTATATGAAACCAGATCTTGACTTGTGTACAGCTAAAGCCTGAGGAACAGTGACATTCTCCATCATCTGAGATTTTTGAAAATACTGAATATTAAATTATTCTTAATGTGCTCTTTAAATTGATAAAGAGGCAGAGCTGGCCCCTACACAGGCAATGGCAGGAAACAGGTAATTCATCAGGTTCCTAGGAAATGAATCCTAGACATTATTTTACTTCACTAGGCCTGCATGTCCTTTTCAAGAACACAAACTTTCTGTATGGAACAAAGGAAGTTTGGTAGAAATACATATGCACACATTCCTCTCTGCTCCCTTATTTACTCATTTTATATGTGAACCAATAAACCACGTATTTTTCATCCGCTCCATTCATATTGAGCAGGGTCATGACAGATTATTGCAGACTGGTAAACGCTTTCAGTGAAAAATTTAACCCATCTGGAGTGTTGGACATCACCTGATTGTTTCAAGATATTTTTTAGTAAGAATGGTAGTTGGTCTTTAAATTAAAAATTAAAAATCTCCGTCCTCTGCAAGATGCTTTTACTACCTTGTCAGGTGCTCCGCATTTTTCCCTGTTGGTGATAATTGTATGGTTTGAGGCTTAAGTGTTTACTAGAAGACAAAATATGGTTTATTCTGTGACTGATAGCCAGTCTATGTATTGACAGATACTTCTCCATATTAATGGTAGCTCTAGAAACCTTATAATTTGGTGGTTTAGGAAATAATAATCTGGTTTAGGCTGTAGCAAAGCATGACATTATTGTTTCACTCTGGAGAAAATCCTGGGGTCAGTCTACGAAAATTTTTATTTTTGTATTCTAATCAATTACTGTTGATCTTATCCACAGGGATCATCCCTATCGGCAAGGACCTGAGCCTAATTGTACCAATAGCATGAACCAGTGGGCAAGTTTAAAACTATCCAAAAGTGTACTGTGAAATCTGTATTTATTATTCCCTTCTTTAAAAAGTCATAATTCAAACCTTTAATCATCCACAGAAATAAGCCACGCCAGCGTGAACTTTTGCATATTGGTTGCCCTTAATTGTTCCAAGTGGGACTTCAACCCCATCAGTGTCTGACCTGAAGCGTCTCACCCTGCGTCTCACCTGCTGAATCTAACGGCAAAGCATCAACAAGATGATGAGGTGCTTGTGGTGGTTTTCTGGTAGGTGTCTATCAAAAGAAATGACCTTATTTCCAACGGTGAATCTATGATAATAACTTAATGTCTGGGTAACGCGATCCTGCACAGGATTACACTTTGAAAGAATGTGTTTCTCATTTCCTGTTCCCATCTCCCCAGACTTACCAAATTTCCTATCTCCCATGACCCTTTCTTTTTTTCAGTTCCCTTCCCCTGCCTCTTCTGTGGTTTTCCTTCTTTGTCTCTATCTCAGTTTTAACGTTTCCCCCCAATTCATCATATCTACTTGGTGTTCACATTGTCCTATTCCTGACTTGCTCGCTAGCCCTGTTCTACCAGGAGTTCACTGAGAATTCTTTAGCATTCGAGAAAATAACATGGCATTTAATAAACTGCACTTTAAATAAAACTTAGTGCTTCTGTCCCGAGACCTTGAGGTACCTCAAATGCGTAGTTAAATATCAGCAATAGCTCACCTAACAGTTAAGAAACATATCTGAGGATGCAAAATGACTCATTCTGGGCCAGAAAGTGAATCAGGGGCAGAGCTGGGAGCAGAAGCCCAGACCTGTGTTTCTTGCCGTCCGTCCAATGACTGTCACTGCCCTATGTCTGCAGTGACTTTTATCTGAAGAGCTCAACATGCATTCATGTAAAGTCCATGCCTCCAAGAAGTAGAAAGCATTGCGTTTATCTATATCTGTGCTGCCCATGTACAGAAGGATTTATAACTTGTATATATTATAAGGGCATCTTCAGAATCAGTGGTAAGCAGATCCCTTGGTCAGAGATGTCACAAAGTTTCATACTACCTTGGTTTGTTTCTTCACTATAACCTTGAAGTTCAGACTAGGTATGTAAAGAGGTTCACTCAAGTTCATCTGAGCCGATACATATTTACACTGAAATAGCACATAATGTGTGATAATTTGCTTTTCACAGCGAAACTGAGACCGTAACCCAACTACAACCAATATAAACTTTGTTTTGCTTTGATTTTTAGAGAAACATCCAAAGCTTCCAACACACCCACAACAGGTATTCAAAGTAAAAGCCAACAGCAACTGTTTGCACACATCTTTGCAAAGTAAAACCACAGTCATTATTCAGTTCCTTTTCTGTTTCTTGCATTATCCTTTATATTACCTCCTTAATTCCATGTTACCAGCTGCACAGATTCTTTGAAACCCAAGTCTTCATACTCAATCCAGAGTGCACGAGTAGTAAATCTGTACCATCATACTGCCTGAAGTAATGATAACTAGAAATTAAGCAACTATTTTTAGCTTAAATTAATCTTTAGCATCAATGATAAAACACAAGATTAAAAAATAAGCTCTCAGAAAACAAGTCTTCTGCAGAGAATTACTGTAAAAAGCTAAAGAAACTGGTGAAAAATTACACCCTTTCCCTAGTGTTTTAATCAATGTCTGGAAAAAATGTAATTTGTTACAAGGTTCTAGTTAAGTTCACTATTAAATTTCCCAGTTAGTTTTAAAATGCTGTAGAAAGTTTACAATTTTCTGTTATATCCTGCATAATGATATAGTATCTCCTTCAAAGTGAATTAGCAACTTTTGCATACCAAAATGCATATCTGAATGGATTTTTATCAGGTGTGCAGGTATCACACAGATTCTGACAACAGTAAGAAAGCAAGTAAATTTTTATTTCCATAGTAGTAGATATTCTTCTGTCGCATACCTGCAAAGCTAAAAGGATATTCTTTATCCTTTCAAGCATTAAAGAAATGTTGAATAATTCATTTCCAGAAGTATTAACTCTACAAAAGTTTATGAAAAAAAAAAAAAAAGATAATTTCTCCTATTAGTTTCCCAGATTGAAGTCATTTCACAATATTTGTGAAATACTAATTTTACAAATGTAATGTCCTTAGGAAATAAAACTTGATGCCTGCTTCCCTAACTGGACTTGATTCTTTGTTTACTTTATGTATTATTCAGCTTCTGCTTACTCTGTTCTTATTGAAATAAATAGATGAAATTCCTGAATAGTGGCAGAATGGATATTCTTAACTATTAGTAGCTATCATAAGATTTTAAATCACTACTGAATTCTTGGAGTACTTTATAGGATGTTTTAAAAGTTTGGATAGGAGGGAGAGATGGGTGAGAGAGGTAATGAGGCATTAAACTCTTTTTTCTTCAACCCTAAAAATGAAACGTTATTGAAAAAAATGAAAAAAGGGCAGAAGAAGAATTAGTTTTTGCAGCTTTTCCAGCTAGTCTGCATCTTGGCAGGTGGATTCATCACTAAGACGACATTGAAAAGTTTTACCTTTGCTCTGCTTTTACGATGTGTCACTTCAAAAGATTGAATGACTTGGGAAATGAAGAATCATCTTTGTTGAACAGGATAACAATTACAATTTATTTCTCAGGTATTTTGAGTGCCGCCTCTGACTTTCTCGGCATGCTGGTCTTTGAGGTGAGATTACGGTGCTTGCCACTAACCAGGCTTGAGACCCCAACCTGCTGTGAGGTGAGTACACTTTCTTTATTCCAAAGCCCTTGAAGAAGAAAAAGGCATCTCAAAACGTGTTAGCCTTGGAAGAAGAATCACATAAGGAATTTCAACAGATGCAAGGCCAGTATTACTTAAAATAAACTACTGCAATGATCAGATTGAGCTCTTCATTCCTGTGGTGTTTTTCATGCAGACAGAAGTATTTCTCTCCCCTCCGCATGTTCTAGGCTGTCCACTTCAGACAGCAATGTCCCCAGGACAGGGACTGGCCCCCCGTGGGGCTTGGTAGGGTGCCTACCCCAGTGAGGACCTGTCCCTGGCTGCTCTGCAGACACCACAGCACCCTCAGCGTCACCATCCCTACCCACAGTCCTCCTGATGAAACCTAAAAGCCCTAAGTTCAAAAGGGGAAAAGATGGCAGGAAGAAGCCAAACAAAAAAAGCCCAGTGCACAAGACAAAATCTAGAGCATTTTAATGGCAGAAGCAGAGACGTTAATTCATACCCTCTATCCATACCTTTAAATGAACAGTGCCTCAATAAATCAGGACAGTATGGGGAAAAAAAGTTGTGAAAGACTGGGAAGAAATTAGAGGAAAGGGAAGGCACATGTTGGTGCCCAGGAAGCAGCTCTTACATTAGGAAGGGAGTAAATTATGCATCTTCATCAGAGGAGGCTACAGTAAAAGATCTGTCAGTGAAAGATCCTGAAGGGCAGTAGCTGAAAATAAATTCCTGCCTGGCCAGAAACCAGGTGTAGCAAAGTCAGCACTGTGGTGGAAGCTCTGCCCCATCTCCTCAGCTTGCTGCAGGCGGGAGATGGGGATTTAGTTTGGGTGGGAATTTTATTCTCTGTAACCAAAGCTCAGTGTCTCTGCTTGCGTAGCCCTGAAGTGCCACTTCAACTGGTTCTGGTACTACAAGAACTGGACTGCAACCAACAGCCCTTTTTATAAAGGCCACCGAACATACGTTGGATGGTATGACCGCGATTATCTCTCACTTCGGCAGCATGCATACTAAATTGGAACGATACGGAGAAGATTAGCGTGGCCCCTGTGCAAGGATGACACGCAAATTCTTGAAGCATTCCATGTTTTTGCTTAGGGACAGGGTTTAGTGGTGGGATGGCAGTGTTAGGTTAATGGCTGGACTTGATGATCTTAAAGGTCTTTTCCAACCTAAATGATTCTATGATTCTATGATTCTGTAGCTAAAAACCTGAACTTGATTCAAGTCAGTAACCTGGAAGGAAAAGGTACCATATCCTATTTCTGATCCTCCGAGCCAGGTCCCCATCTGCTCTTATCTTAATGGCTGCTCTGCAAACTAATAACTAGCATCCCTCCACCCCTCCTTTTTTTTTCTTCTTTATAAACAAGAGGAGGTTCCCTGTCTATACTCAATGTCCCATGGGAAGCTGCACATAAGAATCTCGTCTTACTGTTTACAGCAAATTACACCATGCAATTATTGCTCTCTTTCTTTCCCTTATGTATCTTCATCAATTTTATAAATTGAAAATGTATTGGCAGGGAATAATTGCAGTCTTGACATCTAAGTTGTGCAATGTGTCACCAAGAGATGTCTGAATTCTTTTTCTTTTTGAAATAGCTATTCAAAAGGCAACCCACAGGGCTCAGGGCTACCTTCTGCACCAGAGTAACACGGAAAAGACATGTGATTATTATATTTTACTGTGATGTCAACTATGTATGTACAGATGGAAGGACAGTTAGCAGAGACCAGCATGCAGTCAGTTATCAGGAAATAACTCTTATGAGAAATTTTTCTTTTTTTATCATGATATCAAGCAGCAGCAGTAATATAATATTACTTTCAATAACACTAAAAATATAATAAGAGATTGCAGTAGCTTCTTAACGGAGGAAGTCCTCCTCCCTGTGCATTTGAAAGGCATGCATCATTAAAACACTAGAAAATATATACCTGCAGATCGATCTTGCTATATTTCTGTGAAGCATTTTTGGAAATTGCTACAGTCTTTACTACTCTTAAAAGTATCTCAAGCTAAAGCCCAGAACACTGGGGAATAGTTTTAACCCACACTTCAGGTTAGAAGACTTGTCTTTAAACTGACTGATGAACTCGGTGTGGTGTCTGATCCTGCTTGGCAGCAGCAACGTGGTGGGGGCTGCGTTGTGCTATTCTTAGAGCACTATCCACAAGGGCCGGGCTAAGGCTCAAATTCCTGCTCAATGCTTTTACCCCAAGGAACGGAAAATACTTACTACTGGTAGACTCCAGGTAAGTGGATGAGGCAATTATCTGCAGGTTTTAAATAGAAGACAGCTACTCCACATGCTATGACGCTGTGTGTTTGCATAATGGTTGGCTGGCAGGCTCAGAGGGCTCCTCTGGCACTGCTCATTCAGCACGACCAAAACATAGTTACCTCTAGGGCAGCAGCATGACAAAAGCCAAAACCATAGAATCATAGAATCATTTAGGTTGGAAAAGACCTTTAAGATGTACACAAGCTGTTGCAGGTGAGGGAACCTTTTTGCGTGGACACTAAAGCAATACTTACTACTAAAACGCTGCTATGGAGTCTTCCCAAATTTGTGGAGTACATGTCTTTAAGATTTCATCTATATTTCCACAGCCTTTTGCACAGAGAAACAACTTTAATTACTTGTGCCAGTTTCTGCCTAATTTTGCAACTGAAGAGCGATCACCCTGAGTCCATCGCTGCAATCTTTAAGCGTTCCACAGATTAATGAATTCCTTTTTCTTGTTGTGAGAGAGGGAGAAGTTATAATCCTTCCTCTCAGAGGGGATGAACTGCTGCTAAAAGCTCAGGATTGACATCCTCTGAGGAGTCTGACTTGTGTTTTGAAAATCAATGGAGGTTAGGGGTACCAAAAGAGGAGTGAAATCCCTCAAAGGCTTTTGGACTTAGTGGCTTCCTCTGGACTACGGCAACGCAGAGAACTAAATCTAGATGCTCCCGTTCTGTGCCTTAACCACCAGGCCACCATTTGTCTCTAACAGAAAAGGGTGATGAATTGGATCAAGGAGGATATAAAACAGTATTACAACCTCAGGCTGAGTCGTAGGTCAACTTTGCAATCAACTCAAGGCCAGGATTTTACTTGGTGCCTTCCCCATGTGTCTAGAAAATAGAATGGAAGATAAAAACATGAAGTCACACAGGATCTTTTTAAAAAAAAATTTTGTTAAAATTATTTAACATTATTTGCCACTTTGAATGTTTGTGACTACACTGCTGAATTACAAAAAAAACCCCAAACAATTGATTGGAAATGAAACTTCCTAATAAGATACCAGCTTAGTCAATTAAATTGCGGGTTCGATTTCTATCCTCATTCTAATGAGCCCTACGGTGACTGGAGGCATATGGCATTTTGTCAAACCAAGGACAGTAGGAATACTGTAAACCTATTTTTTCTCATGAAAGTTGCTTTGTCCATAGAATTTGCCAGAAGCAAAGTGATTCTTTCATCTTATTATTATAAGATGCATCCAACCTACACATCTTCCTAAACGTGGCCTGAAGAATGATTTCTCTTTAAGGGAGGGTATTGCAAGGAACAGACAATGCACTTGCAAAAGAGGCATCTACAAAACTCATACACATCTGCATTATGGAAGAAAAATCACTCCCACTTACTTCTGTTAACTGTGCTAATTGCCAGTCCAGCCACCAATCCTCCAGACAAGCTTTGTGGATTAAGAAAAAAGTAGACAAAAAGAGCTTTGCTTGATTCTTTCAGCTCAAATAATGCAGATTTATAGCTAAACAATTATACATGTAAGGAAATGTGATGACAATCTTCCTTACTGGAAATAATTCTTCTGAGGTGCTATGTTCACAGGGACAGTGTGACAGCAACAACAGCAGCTCCTGTATGGAAGGAAGCTGCAGAAGGAGGGCTCAACCAGCACTGAACATCAGGAGACCTGGGATCCCTACTACAGACTCTGACAGACTAGGTTAATGGTTTGGACTTTTCTGCCCAGAGTCTCCAAAACCAAGTCTTCTTGAAGACATCTTTCATCCATTGACAACATTTGACCTATATGCATCCAGCTGATTCAGAACTCGGGATGAAAGATTGCCAACAGTGAGATGGTGGCCCCAGGTCATACATTTGCCATGGGAAAGAGGAATGATTCAGACCGAACACCTCATGAACTTCAGCTGATTTCCTTGTTACCTCTTAGGCAGGCTTGGAGTCTCATTCTGAGGCCAAAGAAGTCCTAACCTATGTTCCTCAGCCTTAAGTCCTAACCTATGCATTTTCCACATTCTGAGGATAAGGCTGAGTGAGATACTGGCGGGAAACCTTTTGTGAACCACACACGTCATTGCACTCACACTTTCAACCCAGACTCATTCTCTGGCTCTAGGAGAGAAATGGACAACCAGGTCTTCTGCACTGGTCGTATAGGTCTTTCCATTTTCTCCCTGTCGTGGGAATGAGGGCCCCAGCCACAGGCTGTGCTTCCCTAGCTGCAGGAAAGCCACCGGCCTCATCCTCCCATCCATCCTCCAGAGATGACCTCAGCGGATAGGCCCTCCTAGGCAGAGGTGGGATTTTGTACCGTTTTGAGAGACTCAGGCCAAGGTGGTGCACGCTGGTGACTACTTACAGCAGTCACGAGATAGTTACAAGGCATTTCTGCATAACTGCATTTCTCCTAGCTTGACAAGACAGTGTGTAGTAAAACACATTGCCCGGGTTGCCCTTCGTAGGTGGTGCAGCGTGTGGCACAGCGTGTGCTAAGGTGTCTTAAGGCTGTTCAGCCAGAGGGCAGAAGGCATTTTGCCCCCGAAGAGTTTCAAGCCATTTCCTCTCTAGCCCTGAGCCAAAGGAGGAGAATGTGAATGCTCTGAGGCTGCTTTAAATTATGCAGGGATGAAAAAAAGCCCCTGAGCAGCCTGAGAAGGCAAAGGGTAAGAGAAGATAACTTAAGCTATCTCTGTTCCATCCCCTCTCAGCTGCGTTAAAGGGTACCTTGGAGACAGCCAAGTTTGCGACTCTTGGTAATTATCTTGGCCATCTTATGCGGTATTGGCTGATAATAACAGAGGTGTCATGAGAACAAATTATCTTGTGACAGACACTGATTTTAAGGATCTGTATCCTCTGCAATATTAGATATGGACACTAGATACCAAAGTCCACCAAAGTCAGCATTACCTGACATGCTGTTTGATTGTGGTTTTTTACTATAGCAGATGCTGAATCAACTGAGGGACTTTGCCTACAGTTAAACACAAGCTAACAAAGATAATGCTTTATAAAACACTTAGAATTGTGTAACTTGCCAAAAGTTTAAGTATTGGAAGATGACTGCGTCCAGCTTCTTTCTTTCACAGGTTGCCAGGTGTCTCCTCCCACACTGGCCACAGTATTGGAAAATATTTTTGAGCAGGAGAAAGATAATTTTTTATCAAATATTATCAAACAGTCCCCGCTTTGCTAACACAATGCAATTATATTATCAATACGATTGCTAACACAATACAAATACTTTTTCAAATGGATTATACAAAAGGATGCATTTCAAAATGTTAAGCAAGGCTGTCTGAGCAAGATAATTTAAGGACCTCACGTATGTAGCAACCTGCAAGGAGGAAGGAGACGGGGCTGCAGGAGTCCTTGCAGAGTCACCCTGCTTGCCTGTGGCTGGAGTACAACCCACCAGAGCAACTCCAAGCCTTTCTCTTCATCCGGAGCCAGCTCAGGTGTGGGAGCAGCTTCTCTCGTTACGATCGCTCGGCACGCACTGCATGCAGCACACATCAGACGTGGTGGGGGCCAGTCCGAGCCTGCCATTTATCTGGGCTCCTTTGGCATAAGAGAGATCAGGACCTTATGGGGGGGGGCTGGCTGGGAGGTAAATGCACAAGGGGCCCAGGGGAGTCGTAGCTCACCAGAGTGGACGCGGCTGACTGCTGAGGTGATGCTGGTATGATGGCTACTTAGGATATTTCTGCCGTGGCAGTTATTGTGTACAGCCATCAGTACACTGGTAACAGTAACCCTTGTTTTTATTTCTTCAGGATAAATCCGCCTCAGGAACCCTGCTTTCCAGAATGTAGAGGGGAG